CCGACATGCTGCTCGGACCGTCGCCGTCGCCGCTCGGCGCTCGGGCGCGCGGGCGCGGCGGTGGTGCCAGAGCCACACGGCGAGGGGGGGGGCGTTACGTTATATGGGGGCCCAAAGAATATACACCACCACCAGGTCGATTCCTCCTCTCTCCTCTTTCCAGCGAGAGGGAGGGGGGGAGGGAGGTGGTGGTGGTGTATACTTTGGGGCTTCCTATTATATCCCCCCGCCCCCCCCATAATGCCCACTATCGCCAAAAATAAACGAAACGTGCCCTTAGAAGGCCCCAGGGGTCGACGTTCACGCAGGGGCGCATCGGTTCTGAATCGCCCAGGGGTCGCCGATAGGGGCCAGATCCGCCGAGGCTCCCGGATTCCTCTGGGCCGTCGGGTAGTTCCCAGCAGTTGGGCAAACTCTGCTTTGTATATCTTGCAACTGCTTGAACAAAATCAGCAGCGCACTCTCGCAGGGGTCGATGCTCACGCAGGGCCGCATCGGCTCTGAATCGCCCATGGATCGCCGATAGGGGCCGGATCCGCCCAGGAGCGCGCGGTTGCGCCATTGGGGGCCCATCGCCGACCTATCGGCGACCGATCGGCGACCTCCAGGTCGAGGCTCCTCCCCCCGAGCCCTTCCTCCCCCCGAGCCGTCCCCCCCCTCCCGCTCCCCCTCGGGGGAGAACTATCGGCGATCTCCAGGTCGAGGTTCCTCCCCCCCGAGCCCTTCCTCCCCCCCAGCCGTCCCCCCCCTCCCGCTCCCCCTCGGGGGAGAACCTGGGTGACCCGCGGGGGCCGCGAAGGCCACGGCGCCTCGTGCGCCGCGGTCTGGGCCCGGGCGGCTGCCTCTCCTCCTCCTCCTCCTCCTCCTCCTCCTCCTCCTCCTCCTCCTGCTCCTCCTCCTCCTCCTCCTCCTCCTCCTCCTCCTCCTGCTACTCCTCCTCCTCCTCCTCCTGCTCCTCCTCCTCCTCTTTCCAACAGAGGCGGCGCGAGCACGCGAAGATGCGGTCAGGCACGTTTGCTGAATTGGCGTGGTGCGCGCCGCCGGTTCTGGTCGGGTCCACCGCGCTCCGGCACGACACGCTAACTCGGTGGTGCAAGCATGGGGTCCTGAGGGATGGGGTCCTGAGGACAAGGTGCCTCAAACAATGTAAATCCACCCTTGGATCCTTTCATACATTTAGGATCCTGTCCTTCAGGACCCCATCTCTGAACCACCGACTAACCACGTCCCGGCCCCCAGACGTCAACGCCCCGAGCCTTGCCCGGCCTCCCGCAGAGCGGGACGACACGCTATGCTTGCCAGGCATGGCGTGCTGGAGGGGCCGCCATTGCGCCACGTGAAGCAGAAGTTCCAAACTCTATCGCGCGTTACGGTGTGGGCCCGAGCGCTTCCTTTTCCTGCAAGGGGGCGGCGCGAGTGCGCGAAGATGATCGCGCTTGGTGGCCTAGAGAGCTCTGGTAGTGATTCCTCGCGGGCGCCGCGATATTACTCGCGGCGTCGGTTGTCGATGTGGAGAAGGCGGAGGGGTCCCTGGGTCGAGAGGCAGGCGATGGGAGGAGCTCGACGAGGGCTGGGGTGGGCTGGCGGGAGAGGAGGGGCGCCCCGTCGGCTGGCGGGCGAGGGGGGGGAGGGAGGGCTCAAGAACAGGGGTGGGGAGCGAGCTGGTTGGGGCGAGGGGGGACGGCTCATCGTTTGGCGGGCGAGGGGGCTCGACCAGGAGGGGCGGGCCACATGGGCTGGCGGTGAGGAAAGCGCACCATCGAGTGGCGGGGTATGGGGACCACGGGAGGGGGGAGGGGACTGCAGGGATATGGCTATGACTGAGGAGGAAGGAAGAATGCTGCTGATGATGATGATGAGGAGGAGGAGGAGGAGGAGGAGGAGGAGGAGGAGGAGGAGGAGGAGGAGGAGGAGGAGGAGGAGGAAGGAGCAGGGACGATGAGGGGGAGGACGACGAGGACGAGGACAAAGAGGAGGAGAAGGAGGAGGAGGAGGCCGAAGAGGCAGAGGAGCGGAGGAGGTCGAGGAGGACGACGCGGAAGAGAAGGAGCTCGAGGGAGGCCGAGGGAGGCCGAGGGGGAGGAGGAAGCGGGCCGAGGACACGGACGGGCAGGCGGAGTGGCTCCGCCCCGCAGGAGCGCAGACGCGCCATGTCGCGGGCTATGCACCGGCAGCGGCACCGCAACCTGCTGGCGGGTTGCCTGCCGCCCCTGCGCGAGGCCGCGGCGGGGGGGGGGGGGGGCGGGACGGGCGGCGCAGGCAGGCAGCGGAGGGGCGCGAGGGGGAGGGGGGAGGAGAAAGAGAAAAGGAGCAGGGAGGAGGGGCGGGAGGGAAGGAGGGGAGGGAGGGAGGGAGGAGGGAGGAAGAGGGAGGGCGGAGGGAGGACAGAGGAGGGAGGGAGGGATGGAGGGAGAGTGGGAGGGGGTGAGAGGAGGGAGAGGAGGAGGAGGGAGGAGGAGGAGGGAGGAGGAGGAGGAGGAGGAGGAGGAGGAGGAGGAGGAGGAGGAGGAGGAGGAGGAGGAGGAGGGGAGAACCACAAAGAAGAGCGTGATAGGGAGATGAGGGGACGGGCATCGTAGCAGGGCAGTAGAGAGATGAAGGTGGAGTGACGTGCAGAAGTAAGCGGAGAGCAGGCATAGAAGCAAAAGCAGGGTCAGCACGAGCAGCTGTGCCCCATGACGCCGTGCATGGTCTTGTGGGACAGATCGGCGACCAATCACCATGGCGGCTTCGCATCGGATGTTTTGACAAAGTAAGACTCTCAGGGAGTGGGAAACGGGCACGGGGGGGGCTCCTCCTGTCCCCCTCTTCCAGGAGCCCTCCCCTTCTTATGTGGGTGAAGCGCGGTGTGGATACATGTCTCGCACCACACCAGCATAGCGTGGCATGGATTGGGCTGATCGGTTGATGCCGTTGGCAGATGCGGCGCGCAGTTGGCGCGTCGGAGCCCATCCCTCAGCAGACCGCACCGCCCCCTATCGTCCCCCCTTGCTCATCCGATGGCCTCTGCCTGCAGCGCTGTCGAGGGGTGTAGGGGTTCCGCCCGCCTGTGGGCAGATGCGCCGACCTTCCGGGGCAGCCCGCCACGCAGCACGCGTGCTGGCTGTGGCCGGTGGCCCGCCACGCAGCGCAGGGGCTGGCTGCTCTCCCAGACCCCCGACGTCATGATTTTTTCATGACGCGACCCCCAGAGGTCTGGACCCTTTCCCCGGGACTGGTTTTTCATCCTGAGTCATTTTATGACGCTCCCGCGGCCCGGTGAGGACCTCCGGAGGGCGAAGATAGCGAAAAACCTCGCGTCGTGATTTTCTCACGACGCGAGGAGGGCTGCTCTCTCTGCCCGCTGCCCCCCTGGCCCTCTCCGTGGTGGTGGGGAGGAGGAGGAGGAGGAGGAGGAGGAGGAGGAGGAGGAGGAGGAGGAGGAGGAGGAGGGGCGTGCCTCCCCGCCGACGCGGCCCCGCGGCCGCGAGGCAGCTCGGCCCGAGGCCCCCCCGGCGGGAGCCCTGCGCTCCGAGCGCTGGCCCGCCGCGTGCACCTTTTGCCCTTCGGGCGCGGCCTCCAAGCGCCTCCTCCTCCCTCCTCCGCCTCCTCCTCCTCCTCCTCCTCCTCCTCCTCCTCTCCTCCGCCTCCTCCTCCTCCTCCTCCGCCTCCTCCTCCTCCGCCTCCTCCTCCTCCTCCGCCTCCTTCCTCCTCCCTCCTCCTCCTCCTCCTCCTCCTCTCCTCCTCCTCCTCCTCCTCCTCCTCCTCCTCCTCCTCCTCCTCCCCCCCCCCCCTGGGCGCTGGCCCAGTGGGTGGACCCTGGGCGCTGGCCCAGCGCCTCGTCCTCCTCTGCTCTGCCCCGCCCCTTCTCTCTGCCCATGCTCTGTCTAGCCATCCCGTCGCCGTCTTGTTTGTTTTCTTCTTCACCATCGTATGTTTTGTCTTCCCAGTCGTATGATTCTTATTATTGTTCGTATCACTACTATGATTATCATCATCATCATCATCATCATCATCAGCATCATCATTATTATTATTATTATTCTTATAATTAGTGTTATTATGATTGTTCTTATTAGTATTATTATTCGTATCACTATTATCATTATTGTTATTATTATTGGTATTATTATTATTATTGTTATTATTATTATTAGTATTATTATTTTTATTTTTATTATTATTAATATTATTATTATTATTAGTATTAGTATTATTAGTAGTATTATTGTTGTTGTTGTCGTTGATGTTGTTGGTGTTGTTGTTGGTGTTGTTGTTGATAGTCTTATTATTGTTATTATTGTTACTATTGTTATTATGTTTCTTCTTCTGGCTCTTGTTCTTCGTGGTCTCCCTCCTCCCCCCTCCTCCCCTCCTTTCCTGAGCTCCTTCTCCTTTCACCGCCCTGCCCCTCACGCGCCCTGGCCTCCTCCCCCCCCTCCTCCCCCCCTCACCTTCTCCTGCACGGCCGCGTCGGCCGCCAGGGCCTCCTTGCCGCCCTCCGCGCTCTCCGCCCCCCCCCCCCCCGCCCCCCCCCCCCTTCCGCGCCCCTGGGCCGCCCCCGTCCCCAGGGGCTGCTCCGCCCGGGCCTGCGCGTGTCCGTGGCCACCTGCGCCGCGCGAGCGAGCGCTGGCGGCCCATATGGGCGCCGGCCCACCGTGGAGGCCCCGGGGCGTCGCAGAGATCCGGCGCTCCCAAGAGCAATGTTCCCAGACCCCCTCGCATCGTGAAAAATCACGACGGGAGGTTTTTCCTAATTTTCGGCCTCCGGGGGCCCTCACCGGGCCGCGGGAGCGTCAAAAAACGACTCAGGATGCAAAGCCGGTCATGGGGAAAGGGTCGGGACCTCTGGAGGGCAACGTAATGAAAACATCATTACGTCGGGGGTCTGGGTTTGGAGCGGGCGGTCCCAGGCAGCGGGCGGCTCGAAAAAATCGAGGCAGAGGTTGTTCCTACTTTTTGGCCTCTCGGGGCCCTCGCCGGGCCTCGGGGCCGTCAAACAAACGACTCGGGATGAGAAACCGGTCCCAGGGGAGTGGTCGGGAGGTCGGGGGCTGCGTTTGGAAAACATCGAGACGTCGGATGTCTGGCGCTGGGGGCCAACTTCGGCCTCCGGGGGCCCTCGCCGGGCCTCGGGACGGTCAGGAAGCGACGCGGGGCGAAAAGCCGGCCCCGGGGAAGCGGTCCGGAGCTCCGGGGCCCACGCATCGAAAGGATTGGAGCAGCGGGATGTCGGGTGCTCGCGGGGACGCCCACGCAGGGTGGCGCGCCGGGCAGCCGGAGGCGAGTGCTCCTCGGGGAGGCGCAGCTGCTCTACAGCAGCTAGCTTGCGCTGGTGGTGGCCCCAGGGCGGCATGTGCTGACCGCCTCTGAAGACCGCGCGGCGCAGATCTGGCGCGCGGACTCCGACCAGTGCCTGCGCACGCTGGAGGGCCACGACGAAATCGTGGTGTCCGCCGTGTTCTCGTCTGACAGGCCGGAGGTGCTGGCCGCGTCTCTTGACGGCACGGCGAAGATCTGGTGCGCGGAGTCTGGCCAGAGCTCGCGCACGATGGAGGGCCACGACGCGAAGTCCGCCGTGTTCTCGCCAGACGGAATGAAGGTGCTGACCGCCTCGTGTGATTGCACGCCGAAGACCTGGCGCGCAGAGTCTGGCCAGTGCCTGTGCACGCTGGAGGGCAACGTCGGTGCCCTATCCTGGCATCCGCCGCGTTCTCGCCGGACGGGCTGAAGGTATTGACCGCCTCCTGTGATGCATTCCGCCGCGTTCTCGCCGCAGTAAGTGCCAGAACATGCTCTCGGGTCGAGGTGGATGGGCTTTTGAGGGATGCGGAAGGCGGGGGAGTCGGATCGGGTCTAACTCCCCGCATACGTCGCGATGGATAATCCATGTGCCGAAATAAAGTGGCAATTCGGCCCTTCTGTGAAAGAAGGTTTGTTTTTGGGGATGTGTGCAGAGCGTCCGCGAGAACCCCCGAAGCAGGGGGGTGAGGGATGTGTGCAGAGCGTCCGCGAGAACCCCCGAAGGAGAGACTACAGAGGCGCATCCGCTTGGGATGACTTCTGAAACTCGCAGCAGAACCCCAGGAACGAAGACCCCAACCCGTGGGGAGAAAGTTCGTGAGAACGGCTGCACAGGGGGCGACCCTCCGCAGCAGAGGAGGGATGCAACGACAGTGCGTCGCGAGCGGAATCGGCGCGCGCTCTCGCGGTTGGAGATCACTGCCCGAACGTGTGCGGGAAAATGAATTCTTGTCCTGCCATCTCTGCTGTCGTCGTCCACCTTTCCCTTTTGCTTTGCTTCGCTTCTCCCCCCTCTCCCTCCCCCCTCGTTGGGGGGGCCCTTCTCCCACAGAGGGGCGGCCCCAAAAACACATTGTAACTTTATCGCGGCTTGGCGGTTAGCTCAGTGGGAACGGACTTCGGGGCGTGTTGGAGCGGGCTTCCAGGAGGGGGGGCCGCGGGGCAGGGTGGGGGGAGGAACGGAGGGAGATTAGACGGGGGCCAGTCGCGAGAAGGAGGCAGCCGGCCGTGACTTCGTCTGCGGATTGGCAGGCGGCTTCGCGCGCAGGGCAGGGTCGATTCGCGCGCGGCGTTGCGCAGTCGACATGTGCGACGGGGGCACAATGTGGAAATGCTTATTTTTGGTGCGGGCTCATTGGCGGATGGCGGATTGGGACGACCCCAACAGCGTCGGGAACAAAACCTAAGTGCTCCCCTGCGGTTTGGGGTTCGAGTGGCAGGAGGCGCAGAGTGGGCTTGGGGCCATGCAGCTCCCTCGGCCTATTCTGGAGGGAAGGGCGAGGATGGAAAGGGCGAGTTCGTTTGCCAGCCGAAAGCTCCCAACAGGGCGTCCCGGGCAGCACACAAACAGATTTACGAGCGACCTCTCCTTCCTCCTCGTCCTCCCCGTCCCCATCCCCTCCTCCGCCCCTACATCCTGAACGGTTCAATGAACGCCAGTTCTCATAATGTCCAGTTTTGTTCTGCTTGTGTCCGCGGCGCCTGGACGAATAGAAAACTATGACATTGCTTGTTTCTTGCAGTTTTGGGGGAGGTAGGCGGCCTACAGTAGGCCAGTCGACGAACATATTATTCAGCGAAGAGCTCAACTCTGGGAGCGGACCAGACATTCCCCCCAAGGTTCTTTTGTCCCCAGGCAACGTCTTCCTAAGTTGGAAATGGAAGGGGGAAGGGATGGATTGTCCAAGACGATAGCACACCAGCTGGACGGAGAGCCCTTAACAACGACAGCCTGCGGCGCTCATTGGGTACGAAACTACCTCCGTTGGCACCGCTCTTACTGTTGTCCGGGTGCCATCAAGGCCTCGAAACAAGACGTGTCCCCACAGGAGCCTTTGACTAGGACAATTTACATACAGAGGCTCTCCGAATCCTCCTCCTCTTGCCTCTCCTCCTCCTCATCCTCCTCCACCTGCTCCTGCTCCTGCTCCTGCTCCTTTTAGTTATCGCCCTCTGTCATTCTCGTCCTTCGCGTCCCCCATTTTTCGGTCTGGCGAGTCCGTTGGAGGTCTTTTTGGAAATCGCCAGAGGTGTCCCATGAGGGGTGGCCGGAAGTACCCAGAGGTCGCCAAGGCCTCTTGGGGTTCTGTCGTTTCCTCCGCCTTTCTGCTCGCCAGTGCCCGATGTTCCCAGGTTTCCGACGGTCTGACTGTTTCAATCCATGCGGTTTTGTATTCGGGTTGTTGGGGCCCGTCATCTGATCCCAGGCAGGGCCATCAAAAATGGATCTGGGGCGAGAAAATATGTTTGGGGAGTGGGTCCGTATTTCCTGTGGCCGCGTATTGAAAGACCACGTCGCCAGATGCATGGGTTTCTTTGCGATTGCACACGTGTGTGGCCAGCGGGATGGAGATAGGGAGAGAAGGAATGATTTGAACACCGCTGGCTCAAGCCAGGCCGCACTGTCTTCCCTGGCGGTCTGAGGGAGGAAGGAGGAGAAGGCGACTTGGGAGGAGGGAAGGTGGAGGGAGAAGAAATATGAGCAGGATGGGGCAGATTCGATGATTAGGAGAACACGGATGACGAGACGGGGGGATGGGGGCTGAGGAGTGGAAGGAGGAGGAAGAGGAGTAGGAGGAGGAGAAGGAGGAGGAGGAGGAGGAGGAGAGATGGAGGGAGGAAGAGTAGAGATGGAGGGAGGAGGAGGAGAGAAGGAGGAGGAGGAGGAGGAGGAAGAGGATGATGATGAGGAGGACAAAGGGGGGGAGGGGGGACATGAGGCAGGGGAGGGCGAGCATGAGCAGGAAAAGGAGGGGGAGGAGGACGAGGAGGAGGAGGAGGAGCAGGAGAGGAGGAGGAGGAGGAGGAGAAAGAGGAGGAGGAGGAAGAGAAGGACGACGGAGGAGGAGGAGGAGGAGGAGGAGGAGGAGGAGGAGGAGGAGGAGAACGAGGAGGAGGAGGAGGGGGAGGAGGAGGCCCGTAGCCATTTTGGCTCAAGGCCAAAATGGTGATTTCTTCACTGCCTCAGCGGGGTAGGCTACCACCGCTCTTTGAGCTGCTTCTCAATTTCTTTCGCGCCACGGCGCAATTTCACGTACATATTGCTCTCCTGGAGACTCGCTTGGCTGGAACGACTTCGGCGGCATGGGGCTCTCGAGGGCAAACAGCAGAGATCGCGAGAGGGAGGACTGGTACTGCAAAGACTGCACGTACAGCTGGGGACCGAAGAAGGACACTCGCTTCCTTAACTTTGGCTCTCATCTCTATTGTGCACGGTGCCGTCTACACAAAGGGGTGGTCTTCGGTGGAAATCGTCAAGCTACCTCGCCCTCACTGCGACCTGAACGGGATGGCTCACCTTTGCATCAACGACGTGATCAAGGCAAGCGGTTTGCGGAGATGGAAAAAGAGGTGCAGCGGCTGCAGCGTGAGCTGGCCGCTGCCAAGAAGTCTCCAGGAACTGGCCATGATACCGACGCCATGGATGAGGATGGGAAAGAAGGAACGGGTACCATGGAGCTTGCCTCAGAACTTCAGCGACCGATCGACGACGTCGAAGCTAAGCTCAAGAAGTGTCCGCAGGCGTTGGTGGCCCAGGTACCCGACATGCAGCCAGTTCGAGACAACTTACTCAAGTTCCAAGAGGAACTCTACACGACGCGCCGTGCCAGCAAGCCTGTCGCTACGCAGATCTCCGACCTGTCCCGCAAGTGTGCCAACATGGAGGGCAACATCTCTAAAGCTACGCCTGCCTTGGAGGAACGAAAAGCGGAGGTTGCCAAGTTGCAGGAACTGGTGGGGTAAGACGAAGCAAAGATCTCAGACATGCGGAAGCAGCTGCTGGGTCTCGTACAACAACGAAGGGAACTTGCGGAACGTGCTACGGCGGGGCCACCTGCCAGTGAAGCGGCACCTGGACGTGCGGCAGTTCTTGGTTCGGGGTTCACCGTGGAGGCGCTGGAGCAACTCCTCAAGAGCCACGGGACCGACGAGACCAGACTGGGCAAGATCAAGCAGGATGAGGAGCTCAACAAGGCGTTGGCGCCGCCACAAGGCAACGTTGGCTCGAATGGTGAAGACAACGCTCGTGACGATGAGGCAGCTCAGCGCGCACCTGCCACTCCTATGGCAACGGTGTCAGTGCAGCAAGCGGACCTTGGTGTATTTCGTGGGCATCTTGAGCGCAGTGGGATTCCTACAAATGAACTGGATGAAGAAGGGATACGTACGGCCGCCAATCAGTTGTTCACCTGGAGGCAGGAGCAAGTCAGGGAGGCTTTCAAGCCGTTCTGATATCATGGGCAAGCTGGGAGTTCGCATGTGCTGTACCGTTCTTTTTATTGTAGCAGTGGTAACAATGATGGCGCAACTTACACCAGGACCAGGCGATCGTCTTCTACCGCGACAAGGCAATGGCAGGCTGAGAGGTTTTCTATGGGAATTACCGCGCCGCCACCTACGACCAGCATTGGGGCGAATCTCTCATTGATAGAGGCTTCGCCTGCTGAGCTCGTCGACACGCCTGGTTGCTCGGCCCAGGAGCGTTGAGGCAGGGGCGTCTTGATGGGTAAACGCCAGGCCAGGTGTCACGACCTCCCGTCGCCAATCAGTGGTGGCGACAGCCTACGGGCAACAGGAGTCATGGCCAGGCGCGTGTCTTGGGGCACTGCCAGGCACATGTCGGCGGCTGAGCCGGGGATCGCCTCAAGCTGGCGGCCAGAACTTGAATCACCCCTGTGCGAGGGTAAACTTGCTATGTGCAACCTACCGTTCAGAGTTTTAGTGGATGAGCAGCTTCGTGACGACATTCGACATTATGCTGCGTGCTGGATTTGGGACCTGGGAGGTGAGCAGTTCCAAGACCCTGAAGTTTGGCGCGAATGGTGCGAGGCATATCTTCTTGAATATCTCACGCATCCTGGTCGTGAGGAGCTCGTTCGAAGGCTGGAACGGATTTATAACATGCGGTTCGGGGCTGATTTAGTTGCTGAGATTTGCGCTGACTCATGGGATGAAGGTCGCGAGGAAAGACAGCATTTCTGGCGCTTTCTTCGAACTTGCAACGAGGAAGAGCGGGAAATCTTTGCAGCGGATCATTTGAGAGGGCTGGGCGGCATCGTCGACGCGATGGCAGATGCGCTACGAAATCTGATGCCACATGCTTTTCGACGGAGGCGTTCATGGGAGGGGCAAGGCAACCCTCAGCCGACGGAAACGGCGACGTATAAGACATGTTGCTCTCTTTCGGCTATACCTGGGGTTCGTTTGAACGAGAAGAGCGGCGTGAAGGAGGTGTCGGTTCAAGGCAAGCTCAAGCAGGTGGGATATCGGCTGGGGAGCCGCCAGTTGCAAGCGCCACCGCAGCAGGAGGACAGGGACGACGTGGTCGACGATATTTTGGGCACCGTGAATTGTACGAGCATTTCCTCTCTGGTGGAACATGTGGCGCTCAGGCCTGATTGTGTTGGCGGTTCAGGGGCACCATTGCATAGGCGACAACGTAGCGACGGCACAGAAGCAGGTGGCAGACGTCGGCTATCATGGGGTCTGATGGTCAGCTGATGCGTCTGAAGGTGGAGGGAGGATCGCATGGTGGAGTTGCCATCTTAGCGCGCACTAGCATTATGGTGACTGGGGCGCCCTTTCTCTCACAGGCTTGGTTCGATGTGTCGCGGGTTACTGCAGGGCGCGTGCATTGGGGTGTTCCCAAGGGCCTCGTCATTATCAGTGTGTACTTGCATACGACGGAAGGATGGTCAGATTGCAATCTCGAGCTGCTTAGCGGTATTCTTCGATTCTGTGCGATGCTCAACATTATTGGCATGGACTGGGCAGTGCTAGGGGACTGGGGCATTGAACCAGCGGGCTGGCAGCATGAGTGGCTCAGCTCTGTCGGTGGGCACCTGGACTCCCCGACAATTTCGATGTGCGACAAGGGTGAGTTGGGCCGTTGCCTCGATGACGCGATGGTGTGTGACAACATGATCACGCGACCAAACGGGGGAATCGCGATGGAGGGCGCTTCTATTGCCATGCGCAGACCAGCGCGGCATGGTGTTCGCAAATCCAACAGCCAGGCCTGGACTCGGCAGTTGGTGGAGCCGCTCGGTTTCGGGGCGGAGGTGCCCGTTGGCTGTGCTAGGTTCCCGCGCGCGAAAGCTTGGAACGTTGCTGCTCAAGCCGTGCTACGGGCTGATGATCTTCGGTCTCTTACGGCAGCGTGGGATTTGGTTTTAACAGGGGTTGAACTTGATCTCGCTGATCGATGGTACTCACGGGGTAAAGACAAGATCAACCACGTAGGGCGAGCTGGGCCAGTTTGTCTTACTTGGAAGAAGTTCGAGTGGATTCCACAGAGGAAACGTGCATATATTTCGGGCAAGGCTCATGCGTGGAACGTGGCTGATCGTTGGTGCGCTCACTTGAAGGCTACGAGAGCTACGTTGGATAAGTATTGCGTTCTGCTCAACTCAGCGGCGACGGTGTGCGACATTACGCAGGAGCAATGTGGGCAGCTGGTCAAGCTGGCGAGGGAAGCCACGCTTTTTCTTCGGAAGGTGGTCAGCAGCGAGAAGGTTCTCAAACATCTGTCGAGAGGGTTGGTTACTTTCTTTCAGGACGGGCGACTTTTGCTGATGCGCGACGACTTCCACGCGATTACGGAGCAGGTGATAAGACAAGGGGCAAAGGGGGATGAGTTGGCAATGAAGGCTAAGCTAAAGGGTTGGAAGCAGTGGGCTGGTCAGAGTTTCTGGAAAGGTGCGGGCGCTGCTCACAAGTTCACAAAGGTACCTGCCAAGGCCGAAGTTATTAAAACGATGTTCCAAGCTGAGCCGTACAAGTTGGTCGATCGTGGGTTGTCAACATGGAAGGAAGTATGGCAACATCATGGGTAGTCAAAGCTGCCGACACCGCCTGATATTGCGGAGTGGGGTTGTTACCAGATATGTCGGTTGCTTATTTGAGGCAGGTGATTCTCAACTTTCCATCGCGCACGGCTAAAGGACAGACGAGGATAGCTCCCAAGGCGTTCTGGCAGGTCAGCGATATGGGGTTGGAGACGCTGAGTACGTTGTATTCCAGATGCGAGGAGTTGGGAGATTGGCCTAGCGAGCGGACCCTTACCATCTTGGTGCGGCTTCCAAAACCTGACGGGGGCAGCAGGCTGACTGGCTTGGTCAACTCGGTCGTGCGTATTTGGTCAAAGGCCAGAAGTAATATTTCACGGGGGTGGCTCAAGCGAACCGAGCTTCCCTTTACCTGGGGCGCAGGCGGTGCAGGGCGTTCTTCCAGTGCATCGGCGTTCCAGCATAACTTGGCGGCGGAGGTGGCAGTGTTGACTGGGCAACATTCGGTCACGGCCCTGCTGGACGCGTGGAAGGCTTTCGAGCGTGTGCCGCCTCAGGCCCTCATGGAGCAAGCGAAGATCATGTGCTTTCCATCACGGTTGGCCCGGATGGCTTTGCAGTGCCACACTATGCCGCGCATCATCAGAGCGTTTGCGTCGCTGCCGAGCAGCTACCAGTCGGACCAGGGCATGCTTGCGGGATGCAGTCGCAGTGCTACTTTGCTCACGGTACTAGCGGCGACGGCTCTGCAGCGCATGGGCAATTCGGGCGTCATCCCTCGGGGGCTGGTAGACGATACTTCAGCGCAGTGGGTTTGCAAAGATGCACGGGAAGTTGTGCAGCTATGGTAAGCGCTCAAAGGCTTCAGTCACGATGTGCAGGCATTGGGGTTGCTGATACAAGTCGACAAGTCTGGCTTCGTATCGACGGCGCGCGAGGGAGCGACTGCTTCGTTGGAGTCGGCGGAGTTTTGTGGCATACCTAAGAAGAAACACGTGCGGAGTTTAGGTCATGAACTTCATGGGCAGACTGTTCGTAGAGGGGTACAAGCAAAGCGTAAAGGGGCGTTGAGTCCAGGCTGAAAAGGGTGTTCACGTTCAAGCAGACCGTTGGGCTCAAGATTACTACAATGTGGAGGACGGGGCTTCTTCCCGCGGTGGGGCATGGGGCAATGGTGAGTTGCATCTCAGATGTCGAACTTCGGCATCTTCGTAGTGTGGCAGCAATGATGGCAGGGTGCCCTGGGCGCGGTGTAAGCATCACGCTATATCTAGCCACGCGAAAGGACGCCTATTACGATCCCATCTTCGACGCGACTACGGCGCCTTTCTTTGCTCTGCACCGTGTTATTTGGAATCGCTAGCAAAGCCTGGGACAGATCGAGCGGGCTTGGCGCAATCTGTGTTCAAGTTACGTGACTTGGCAATCAGCACGTGGGCTTTTGGCGGTCTGCAAGCTTTAGTTGCAGCGCGTAGGATGGGAGATGGTGTCTTCGACGGTAGTGCGAGACGATGCGGGAGAACTTCTTTCGCTACGAACCACGCCGCCTACCTTCATGTGGCCCTTACTTAGGTTGGGTATACAGCGGTGGCAAATGAGGAAGGTTATGGATCATCATCCTTCAGTTGAGCCGAGCACGACTTTGGGCCAGGTGCCTTCGCTACGGAGTTGGTGCCAGAGCGGTTTCGGTCAAATCCCATGTAGCTGCTGGAGCTCTACGTTCGCTTTGGTCTGGATCGCTTTGGCCCAAGCCCAGGTTGTTCGATCGCGGCAAGGTGTCGGACACCAAATGCCGCGGGCGCGGGCAGGAGGACGAGCACATTTGACATTGCGTGTTTGGATGCTCAGTGGTCATAAGCAGATTATTGGACGACGAACAGAGCACCCCATGCCTGAGGATCCTTGCAAATTTCGCCAGGCATTTTTTTGATCACGGCACGTGTATGGAGCCAGTGGTGGCCTTGGATGCGTTCGACTACTCGGTGGGCATGCCGCAGTTGCCTGCTATTCCTGAGCTTCCAGGCGATCACTTACCAGTCCACTACTGGGGGAATTGGGGGCAACGGCCGCCCGATGAGCCAGTGGCGCTGTTCACTGATGGGTCTGGCGCGCCATCGTCTTTTCCAGAGCTTAGGCCTTGTGGATGGGCAGCAGTGGAGATGTCCAGGCACGGATGCCCCTGCAGAGCGATCTATGGCGGACTCCCTGGACGGCAGCAAACGATTGGACTGGCAGAAAGGCATGCGGCGTTGCAGGCCGGTCAAGGTTTTTAGCAAAGTCGACGCGACCATC